ATTCTTATTGTTATTATTATTATATCATATATTGCATTTTGCCATGAGGTACTCCGCCGAAATATAAAAAAACAAGGGAATTTCGATAAACAAAAAAAAACAACGGTGAAACCGATATCTGACGATTCTGCTACCTCTATAGACTCGACGGCGACTACACCACGTCCTTGTCCCCCATCCTCCCCGCAGAAAATAAAAACCACCCCACCACCCACCCACCCTCGTATCCCCACCCCGATCCATGGAAAATGGAGGAGTGGAAATCCCCCACCACGGATCGGGGAGAAATCCCCACCATCGAAACGCATCTGAATTCTCCCCCACTTCGACCTATCGCTATGTAAGTCACCCACATGTTCCCCAGCGATTTCAGTCTCGCATCGGCACTCGGGAGTGACGGGAGGCGATTTTTCAATTAATCAAGAATATTTAAAAAGAATAATAAAATTATCCAACATTAACAATAAACTCAATCTAACCTCGAATTAAACCATCGGAATTCAACCGTTTTGGTTAAAAAATAAATTGATAAAAAAAAAAAATCGGTTATCAGTCGCACATCATCTCCCGATATTTTTGTTGTTCTTTTTTTACTTTTATAATAAATCAATTAGCCGTGTAGGGATACGTTAATTATTGGAAAAGTGAATTGATCAGTGGAATCTTTGGATTAATCATTGGATCAGGTGTGTCTCCAGTTTGTGGCATCTGTCGAGGGTCATCGCAACCCGGAAACACTTTTTATCGAAAAAAATAATAATAAAAATAACAATAAGTGAAGCGAGAGGAGATTGCATATTTCTTTTCGAAGTGATGTTATGACATTTTTTTTATTTCAAGGATAAATCTTTTCCGCTTGGCACGCGCTATCCTCGGGACTTTAAATCACCGTAAATACCACGTGAGTACTTCAAGTCACTGGGAAAAATCCCCACAATTTGAGTTTTTTCGTATTTTCCTCTAGATTTTCTATCAATTTCCACATGTCTCGGGCAGTTTCACCGGTAAATCAAGAGTATCAATCGTTTCAAGAATTTTATGAGTGCACAGTGACCTCCGAGAATCCGCCAATCGCATCGATAACGATTTCGCGGGAAATTTGAATTTCGTTTTTTACTCATTTTATCTTTCATCAGATAATGACTAAATCTCGTGAGGGGGAGGGGAGAGGGTGTTGTCTTGTTCAACAGATAGGAAAATTGTCTCCCCTCCCCCCTTCCCCCACATACGCACACACACACACATAAAATTCAAACCCCGTTTTGCCCGTGATTTACTAAATACGGGGAAAAAAAAATTTACCGAGAATCATTTTTTTACCGGAATTGTGCGATCTATAGAATCGATAAAAAAAAACCTCCCTCTCCCCGTAGAGGAATAAATCGAAAATATATCGACAAAAATAGAAATGAGGGATTTTTTCTTTTTGCATTTCGCATTAGTGTGAATTTGTTATCATCTGGCGGTTAAATCCAAGATAATGAGTGAAATCTTAGGGTCGATGTGGTACATAAACAGGGGAATTACGGTATGATTACGTGGCAGAAGTATTCGGAGCATGCGTGATGCGGGAATTTATGAATGAGTGTAAAAACTATGGGAATAAAACTTGATATATTTTATTAGTCAAGAAGTACCTCGTTATTTTGATAATTGAAAATCGATAGTTCCGAGCTGTCACTAATTAGACCTCCCATTGGGTCCCCAACACCTAATTATCATCTCTAATTACCGTCAACCGCGGGTAGGGGGGAAGGCAGGGATGGAGGGGAATTACCGGTGGAAAATTCATTTTTTTCCTCATTTTCTTCGAAAATTTTGTGTTGTTTTCCCCTTCACTTTTCACAACCAATCACGATGAACACGTGTGTGTACTAAAGTCACGCTCCGTTAACCTTGGTGTTTTTCATTCTCGTGTTTACGACGTATGGAATATTCACGGGCATGTCGATGGCCTTGACATCCCGAGGATCGAATTATCTAGTTTTTAGAGCAATTTTCATTATTTTTATGTAACGAGAAAAAAAAATTGCATCCTCCAAATGCAATTACATCTCCCCAATGGCTTTACGCGGAAAAACTCTCATTTTTCTCGATAAGTTTCGATTAACCATTGGATTTTTTTCCTCCATTCGATAGATCGGGAAATTTGCACAAGGATTTGAAAAAAAAAAAGATCGGTTTTGCCCCAGTACTTTTTTAGCTATCGACGATAAACAATTTCCATGAAAAGATCTTAGTTTTTCTTTTTTTTCTCCTATCGATTAGTGGAAGCGATCAATCGATTGATTTGAAATTCTAGAGGGTCTCATTTTTTGGGATGAATTGGGTCAGATGGACCCCGGAGGTGTCTATTCTAGGTGAAATTGATACGATTTTCTCTCTATCCTTGAAAACAAAATAATTACGACAACGACAACTCGTCGCATTGTTTCCCCCTGCCAATAACAGTTGGCAGGTCGTCACGAGTGATGGCCCGATTCTGCCATTGCGTAATGAGTTGTACATAGTCGAACTGGGCGAAACAGAGTAGATAGATAAATTCCTCAGTGCTATTACTTATAATTAAACCTGGCCATGAAACATCAAAACACTTACGACTTTTAACTAAAAAAAAAAAATGTCAAACTATTTGGGGGTTTATTATTAGCTGTGAAGGAGTGTCGTGACTCAATGCAGCTATTTATATCATTTTTTTCTCATCAATTTAGTTTTTTATCTGAAACATTTATCACAAACATTAATATTTTTGTTTTTTTGAGATTATTTTTAAATTCTTAGATATCTACTATAAATTGGAATCAACAAAAATTGTAAAAATTTGTTGGATTTTTGTTTTTTATCCAAACAAATTTCAAGCAATATTTTCATTTCTAGATTTATAGACATTTTAAAAGATCTCATAAATGAAGAAAAAAAAATGCTCAATAAAATTCAGCTGCGTCACTGACGACTCGTCTGTTTGAACAGTCTGGTTACGTATATAGAGGTGGTTTCGATTGATAGTCTCGTGTTTTTTTACCTCATTCGGCCATTTCGACTGACGCAAATGTCCATTTCCGTCTCTTCTTTGACACCTAATTATTCTCATTCACCCACTTCGCCCTTTATCCAGCGTTTTTTCTTCATTCCTCACATTGTCAAGTTCAATTATGCACCGTTTGGATATTTGATCGTGACGTGCCAACGAGGGGAGGAGGTCCTATAATTATAGGGCTGTGATGAATTTATTATCTACGATTTTCTCCCCTCAAAGATTTCCCTCTGCATTTTATCGATTCGACCCCATTTTCACCCATGCCCGGTCGATTAACTCACCGATATCTCGCGAGAGGGTGGGGGGAGGTCGTCGCCAATGGTCGGATCGGAAAGATGGGAATCTTCCGGTGAAATTAAAAAAAAAATCGACCTTTTCGCTCCAGTAGAACTCTCAAAAATCACGATTCAATTTCTATAGATCATTTGTCGATTTCTAGATCGTTTTGACATTTTGCGTTGTAGTTGAATGAATAAACCCGCGGATATCTCGGCAAGTGGTGGGGGCAGGGCGGAAATCATGATCATAATCGCTAGATCGGAAAATTTCCGATGATTTTAAAAAGAAAAAAAGGCTTTTGACACTAGAAGATCCTTCAAAAATCCCGATTGAATTTTCGTGGATCATTCGTTAACTGATAGATCACTGTCACATTTTCGGCGGGAACTTCCGTTCTATGCGGTCAAAATGGACGATTTTTTTTTTCGTCTGTCAGAAATTTTGCGGTCTATCGAATGAAACGGGTATCAAACCGCCACCTCCCCACAAACATCACAATTCCGCAATCGGAAATAATTGAAAGTGAATTTTTCTTTTCTTGACGGCGAACCATTCGTCTCTTATCACTGAAGCTTGAAAAAATATCGCCAATCGTAAAAATGCCAATTATTCATGAAACTTTCCGTGTAAATTATTCATCACTCGAATCACTGGAATAAAAAAAAAGAAACATCGCGTTATCTCTGGCGCGGGCAGCTAAGTCTCGGAGCAGGTTATCATTGATAGCGACGTTATCGTGATGTCAACGTTGTCGTGCTGTCGACATCAGCAGTAATATCGACTATATCACAAATTAGAAGAAGAAAAAATTTTTTAACTCAAATTTTTAAAATTCTAAAAATTCCAAACCTAAATCTTAATTTTTTTTTATTCCAAGTCAATACACGATAATTTTTTTAGCTAACTAAAATAATTCTCCGCCATTTTCTTTTTCTTTTCATAAAGCAAATTTTGGGTCAGATTTTTTTGGACACTTTTTAAAACCTTTTTCAAATTAAAATAAAAACTATTTTCTAAATATCTTATGTCCTGTCAAAAATGGACATTTTTTCGACACTTTATTTTCGGATGTTCGTCACAAACTGACTGGATGCTATTTAAAAATAGGAGAAGACATTTAACGCGTGCTTCTGTAACACTAGAGGCCCCCGGAATGTAAACAAGGTGGCCGATGAAATCCGCATACTTCGGTAGCTCGTTACAAATTGTTTTGATATCCGCCGTAGGCTCGGGGAAATTCCGTGAGTTGATGAATTACCGAGGAAACTTTATTGAATTACGATGTAACTGGACACAATGGCCTTTTCTATTTGCACTATGCACCTCCAATGTGTCCTCTCCGGGCGGATACTGCATTGTGATGTCGTGTCACAATGGCGAAGCACTTGAATGAAGAGTTTCAGGGGAATTTCCAAAATTAGAAGACATCGAAGCACCTGCAATAAATAAATTCGTTGCCTCCAACAAAAACTTTTTGAATGGAAAAAATTTAATATTTTTTCGGTCTTGTGATTTTTCAACACCAAAAAAATCTTGCGTACGAATTTCGACATTGATAGCAATCTCAAGAGATAGATCGAAAAATTATGAATAAATTGAAAAAAATATGAACCGTTTAGGCCTCATAGAACCAAAGTTACAGGAAAAAATGTAAAAGTGGCCGATGATCTAGAATAATCTATAAAAATATTTCGGATTTTTGATGGATCTACTGGGGCGAAATGACTCGTGATTTCTTTCATTACTCGAAGATTATTTTGAGTGTCCAATGAAATGTAGTCCACCTCATCCAGCCTTAATAATCCAGAATTGATCCAGTGATCGATAAAGGATCTATGAAAACTAATTTCGGATTTTCTCCGAATCTACCGGTCCAAATCACTTTATTTTTTTTTTATTTTTACATAAATTTTTCGACCTATCGATATGGGTCACTCTCATCCCCCTAAACTGTCATTTTCGATGAGCTACAGATCAATAAGTTCTGTAAAATTAATAAAACCATTAATTTCACGTGAATTTCAAGTCCACAAGTCATTCAGAGGGTGTGGGCGTGACATAGGTGCGAATGAGAGAGGCTCGTGGCGAGGAAAAACGATAAAACGATGAAAAAGAGGGGAATGGAAGGCAGACAGATCGATAAAATGGGGCGTCGCGTGATTCCGATGCGTTTTAATGTGACTGAAAATTCCTCAAAATGATTCTTCCAAAAATATTTCAAAAAATCATTATTGAGAAATGCATTGTCACTTCTCCCTGGTATTTACGTAATGGCAGGTGTTACGGATGTCAGACGTAGTCGAATAATCTATTCTTATTCATCGTCTAGATCCCCGGCTGGTTCTTTAACGCCTCGAGGCCTAATTTTATGCTCAAGTGAGACACGAAAAAAAGAGAAACGAGAGATTAAAAATAAGGGGGAGACTTAGATGCGTTAACTCCGGTGCCAACTCAACACGGCCAATGGTGCATGACATCCTGTGACGTAAAAATTTAATTGCCGAAGATAATTGTCTCATTTCCCAAGAAAAAAAAAATCCAAATTTCAGTGCGAGATGGAATAGTAAAATCATGGAGAACACAAAATATGGGATTTACTTCTGACTCAATCATAAGTCCATGGGCATTACACCGAGCCATTGAACTGATAATTAAATCATTAAACTTGGCATTTAATAAATAATTGATAACTCCATTGAGGCCTCAGCCCGCCACTGGTCATCTGCAGGGATAGGGTGAATGGAATGGGGTCACAACTATCAATAAAATCAATGTCTCTTAAATTCACCCCTTGTTTCATAAACTAAAGAAATAAAAGTGCGGGGGGTAGAAGTCCACGGAAGTCACCGAGTGTACGTGAGTGGAATCGAGGAGAGTATCGAGTGCACACGGAGAAATACACGGGGGGTGGCTGGCATAAGGCGAGAAAGGGGTTGAGGAGAAATAAAATAAAATAAGAGTGTTTGGTGGAGATGGGGTTGAAGACGCCGGGGCGTGGTAGTGGAGAGAACGTAGGAAAGCCATTATCCGGGGAAATACGAGAGTCGTTCGTCATCCGCTGGGCTCTAGAGCTATTTCCGCCATGTTAAAATGGAATTGTTCAGTATGTTTCGGTTAAAAATTAAGAGGGAACTACACCCCGAAGAAACCCCCATTTCTCATCTGACGTAAGAAATATTCACGTTTTCCTATATCCGCACAGCCATTACTAATATACTGATGAAAATTGCGCCATCGAGAAGCTGAGGAATTCCCCATTAATTGAAAAAACAGGCGTCATTTTACGCCGGTACTTTCGCTAAAAATCCCAAATCAATCCTTATATATCATTTCGCGAAAGATTAATAGCATAAGAAAAACATCTTCTAAATTTTCTCGATTTTCTCTACTAGCATTGAAAATTTGAAACAACTATCCTTTCAAAGAGGATGAAATTCTCTGTCGATTAAAAAAAAAATTGCCCGTTTCGCTCCAGTAGATCCCGCAATAATCCCGATTGAATTTCCATAGATCATCGATCGATATTCAGACGACTTTCGCACTTTAACCTGTAACTCCTGTTCTATGGGAGCAAAATGATTAATTTTTTTTTTGATTCGATGTAAAATTTTCCCGGCTATCCAATGGGGTGATTATCGATCTCGGTTTATGGGGGGAATTGTGGGGGTGAAATTTTTCAACCCCAAAAATTTGAAATTATTTCGATACAGCGGACTTTCATGCTATTCAGCATCGTTTGACCCACTTTTCGTCGATCCGTGACGGCATTCAGATGCGAGGCTTAACGTTGAGTATAGAAGAGGGCTACAGAGGGCACAATATATTCTTCTCGGTGTTTTGTTATCTGGAGCAACGGTTTTAGTACCGTGTGTCTGTTCGTGGGCCGTGTCGTTATTGATCTGACGCTGGTCGCACTCGACTAGGGAAAATACCAGAAGTCTATCGGAATCCATCGTCAAAGTATTTTTATCTAATGCATTTGTCTTTATCGGGAGACGCCCACTGTGACAATTGATGATTAAATCTAGGGTAACGAATCCCGGGATTTCTCTTTATTTTGAAAAATTCAAGTGCCAATGGGAATAACTTTCATCTCGCATTGAGAGGGCACTCCACCCTCGGTTGAGTAGGTGATAAAAAGGGGTAGGCAAAATTGCAGTAACAGTCGTAAAACTGTTTGCCAACTCGTGATAATGGCACTGTACTTGTACCCCTCCTATTTTTCCCTCATTTCTGTTCTCCTGGGGGAGGAGGAGAATTCGCTAACAGCTTCTATGAAAATCAATATGAAAACCAATTCCTCCAACACCTATTTCATTTTTTTTTCCATCATATTTCATTTATCTTCAAAATCAAAAATTTTCAACTGACCAAAAATTCGCAATCATCTAAAAAATTCCCCCGCTGAGAAATCCCATATTTATATTCTCTCGAATTGTCCTTCAATTGTCAATTAACATCCACCCCCTGAAAAAAAAAAATGATTTCCCGTTTCAATTACCGGAGTTGGGAAGAAATCTCAGTTATAACGGTTCCGTGATCCAAAAGAGATGAGCAGATGATGAAGGTTGGGTCGATAAGCGGAGGGCAAAAGAGGGTGGATTGATGAAAAAAAAAAGAGAAAGAAAAAAAATCAGAGGTGGGTAAATCCTCCCCTTTATCCCAGTGAGGATTCACACACGTTGCAAGGCCGTGTATTTTTAACTTTACAAAACTTGCCAACCGGCCGCAAGGGGATCAATACCTGGGCTGGTCTAGCTGTCGGCTTTTCTACCCTATATACAACCCCCGTTGAACAGCCACGACGCCGCCACCACCCCCTACCCCTCAATTGTACATGTGTACGTGTGTAGGTCTTCTTGTGGGCCATATCCGAGTCGTATTTTGCCTTCGTAACCTGCACCCAACTCAAATCGTGCAAAAAGGGGGTCACACATTTTTCACCCACCCTCCACCCACCGGGAGGTACTGAACAATCGATCGTTGTGCAGCAGTGACCCGGAGTTATCCGAACAGTCGTAAAAATGAGTTGAAAGTAGTTTTCGGGGGAATTTGTAGCTGACGGAATTCGACAGAAGCCATTTTCCAAGATAAGGTGGCATATCCGGGGGGGATGTATGAGGAATAGGGGCTTGCAAATGGTTTAATTTTGTAGCCAGGGAAATTTACGACGAGAGCTAAAAAAAGGTTCAATTTGAAGCGAATGGTCGAGAGAGATCCATGAAAAAAACTATTTTCGACCCCGATAAACGGGTTTTGGAATATATCCAAAGATAGCCGGTCAAAATAAAGATACTTTTTTTTTAATGTTGGAGTAAATTTATCAATCTATCCAACGCGCCATTCCCGGTGGTCGTATCCCTTTGGGTTTGTCAGATATCGCTTCCTTAACTAGATCAAGACAACGAGCCCTAATCAGAATTCCCTTCTCTGTTGCAGATTATCAGAACCATTCAGCAACAGTGGCCCCAGTGCCGTGTATTAATCCCCTCAAGATAATCACCCAGCCCAACGATTCACCTCTCAAAGCCAAAGATGGACATAGAGGTTCAGGTGGCCCTGAATTTCGTGATATCGTACTTGTACAACAAATTGCCACGTCGCCGAGTTAACATATTCGGTGAGGAATTGGAGAAGGCACTGAAGGACAAATTCAAGGGTCACTGGTACCCGGAGAAGCCCTTCAAAGGCTCAGCTTTCCGATGCCTGAAAACAGGTGATCCTATTGATCCAGTGCTTGAACGCGCTGCCAAAGAATCTGGTGTACCAATTCAAGACATCCTGGAAAATCTTCCAGCTGAATTGGCTGTATGGGTTGATCCCGGTGAGGTTAGCTACAGAATTGGTGAGAAGAGTGCCGTTAAGATTCTATATTCAGAATCATCGGATCTTCACGACGAGAGTTCAGCCGACAGAGAGGTGACCAAGACCTTCAATCCCGAGGCCCAGTGTTTCAGACCAATCGAGGCTGTTGGCACATCACTGAGCGGTCTCAGCTTGAGCCCAAAGTCCACATCACCATTTCCATCATCACTTGGTAGCAGTGCCAGCAATGGTTCATCAAATAATCAACAGAATGGCCATGTATCAGGCTCATCGTCAGCCCCATCACCAACACCAATCACCAGCACCTTCAAGGGATCACCAAGTCCTGTACCGGCATTCATACCGAGGACAACAGCACCGCTGACCTTCACCACAGCTACCTTCGCTCAGACCAAGTTCGGTAGCACCAAGCTGAAGACAAGCAGCAAACGGGCGAACAGGTAAGTCAAGATATCAATCCAAATCAACAGCATCGACAAAATCAAACACCAAAATGAGAACAGTGATGGATATTTTGAGTGAATCTCAATCTATCCATCACTGGATCACATAATCCGACTGTCATTCACCCTCTGAAGAACTGGCAAATCCTAAAGTGGCAATATTTCAGAATGTCCCCAACGGAATTCTCCAACTACATCAAACAACGAGCAATGCAACAGCAGATTCATCATCACCATCACCACCACGGCCCTCATCAATCAGCCGGTGGTCTGCCTGTATCGCAAAGCTCACCAACAAGTCGTTCCCTGTCACCGGGTGGTATCGTTGGTCAACCACCGCAACAACAGCAGCAGGGCCAGCCCCAGCAGCACACAGATCCAAGCGCCTACTTCTTCCCTGGTCCCTATCATCCACAATTCTCCCACCGCAATATCTTCGACTCGTCCAGTCACGCTGGTTACCTGCCTGACCTCTATGGCGCTAAATTTCCATCATCCTATCTTGATCCAACCATTGGACATCAGTTCTATGGTGGCGTGTCTGGCAGCTCACAGGCCAATAATCTTGGTCCTGTTGGCTCAGCTACTTCTAACGGTGGTGGTACGACACAACAAGATAAAAATAATATCGTTGATGGGTTGAATAACTTTGGGATTACATATCCTGCCAGCCAGTATCAACATCTACTCGTTGCTAATTAATACACTGGCAGCCTGGCCCCCAATTGTCCAACTCGTCTCTCATCAGTCGTTTAAGTCATAGAAATTTCATTGATTGTCGTTTTTTCGTCCTTTTTTTTTGAGGTTTTTTTAGGTAGTGGAGGAATTTGGGAGGAGAGGGGTCGAACAGAATGAGTTTCTGCGAAAAATGGGACTTCAATGCCCCAGAAAAGGCTCTTCGATTAGAATCAGTTTGAATTTCCCGCCTGATTCAAATCGACGACAAAATGGACGCATCCTGTTTTACCCCTCGAAGGATAATTTGTTTTTTTTTACCAAAATTTTTTATACTTGTTTTTCTCGTTGGGTACGGAGACACGTGTGGCCAGGTGTCCCAAAATGGTTCAATAGTTTCTTTGACACCATTTTATTATTTTTCAAAATTATCTTTTGAACAATTTTGGGCCAGATTATGGGTTATTGGGATGACTAAATTGGTTATTGAGAGGGTGATACACAGGATCGACAAATGTGTAATAATTTATTTTTTCACTGGAATAGAAAAGGAAAAAAAAATGAGGAGAGTATAATATATCTGTAGAGCCTATGTAATTATAATTCAGAAAAATGCACTCACTTCAACGGGTTTATTCATTTGTGGAACGGTATGGGATAACTGTTGCGTTATTCATTGGGTTTATTTAATTTGTGAATTTTAACGTGATGGGGATTGCTCTCATACCGTTGCAACAAAGACTCGTCCTTTGGTACGATCTTACATTTTATTTTTATAAAAACGAGAAAATGATAAATTGATGTAGATGTGTAGGGTACACGTGGGCATGACGTGAGGTGTAAATTCGTTCATTTGTCCATTCTTTTGGACGAAAAATTTCAATTTGTTCAATTGGAAAATGCAAATTTTGCAGGTTTTACCGTGAAAATTCAGGAAAATTTGCAGCACAAATCGCAGGATTTGAATTTCTTTTGACGCGGCCATTCTTCCGCAATTTGAAAATTGAAATTTCTACATGGAATTGTTTTTTCGTTGGCGAAATTCCCTGGCTGCATCCTCAGGGCTCGCCCCCAAAAATTCGAACCAAAAAATCCCCAAAATCAAAAATCCGCGAGAAAAAATTACCAAAAAAGTACAAAATGCTTTAAAATCCACCTCTCGTCGTGTTCCACCCGCGATTGCATAACTCCATTGTCACGAAGACCTCCGACAATGAAAATGCAAAAAAAAAACATAAAAAGGTGCCAGAGGGTCAGGCACCAGGTGCTAAAGTATTAAAGAGGGTATGAAAAAAGCCCAAAAAAAATAGAGCAGAGAAAAATTTTTCACGTGAAGAATTAACGACTGGACGACAAAGAGAAGTGCAAGATAAAGTGGTCAAATTTTTTTTTCGTTGGCGCCAAGGGTTAAAAAGACGCCAATAAAAGCATAAATAAATCATGGGGACAGAGAGACACCGCATTACCCTAGTTTAATACCTAATTAAAAAACTTAATTGTAACTATTAAACGATACGTACGACTGTGGTAGCTATGCTAGTACCTGCTATTGTTAAAAAAAAAATCGAGGTAATTGAGATGATAAATACATGAATTTTTCCCAGGCATTTTCGTTCGTCGAAGATGTGACACTCGATTTTTTATTCAATTATCCAAAGGTTTAAATGTGAATGGACTATTTCGTGATTTCAATTATTTCATTGATGCGGGTCGATTTATTGCAATAATGAGAATCAAACGGATCTCCAGCGAGATTACGGCGAGGATGTGAGGAAGCTATGAAATCAAACTTCATGAATGCTCTTGATGAAAAAAAAACATAATAAAGTTGAGGAGAATACGCGATGATGACGGAAAATTTGACCTTTCGGTGGAAATCTAAAAAACGAACAATTCCTCTGAATAATTCGAGAATTTTCGACAAATAACGAAAAAAAATCTGAATTCATTTCCCAACGATTGATTGATTGATTTGTCGCTTTTTTATTAGACACATCGGGAAATTTCAAGTGGAATGAAATAACAAAATCTACATTGACCCGGGAATCTGGAAGAAAATCCTAAATTCATCTTTCCTCGATCACTTCACTTCTTTCTCAGCCTTTTCCTAATTTCACTTTGAATTTCCCGACTCATCTACTTTAGGCCAACCAAAGGGTGAAAATTTCCCGTCAACATTGACACAGACAAAAAATATTTAAAAACATAGTATTATAATGTATAAACAAACAAGAAACTTAAACGCATAGTTTTCCAACGCATTAACTGATTGTACTTGTTAAACGAGAAGCAAGAAAAATCGAGGGGACAGACGAGTGAAATAATAATTAAACTTAAACAAAAAAAAAAATCGTATCTCAAATGTACCCAGCGGAGAGATCGATAATCTGTCTTTTAAAAAATATCAAGTGTTTGTAAGAACCTAGCGAAAAAACCCAGAAAACCCAAAAAAAAAGATCGGTATTGTCTATTAAATAATTAATAGAAGAGAATTAAATAAATTTAATCGAATGGCAAAAAATGAACCGCGAGCGGGTGAAAATTCATTGCAGATAATTTACCTAATGATTAGATACGAGACATTACACGATATATTCTTATACTTAGCCCGAGTGACGAGAGCGAGGAAATTTTTTGATGTGGGAGACAGGCAGGGTCAAATTAAAACGATTAAACACGAAACGACAAAAAAACAAATAAACAAAATGTTTTACGCATGTAAATACGATTTATCGCGACTGCAATGACCGTATCGCTGATATTACGAGATCCACGTCAATGAGAAAATGGCGGAACTAGCCGCAAGATGGCAATATGACGAAATATAACGAGAAAAATCACAAAGAGAAAAATCACCAAAATATACATTACGGGCAGTCATGACTACCGGTAATATCTTCAATGATCATGAAATATGTGAATGATTAGATTTGTAATTATTATATATATTTTTCAATACCTACTACTTGCTGTATGTGAAACAAACAAGATAATGTTACTATACACATTACGCTATTAATTGAAAAAATAATGTATAGACGATTGTGAGGACACGCATCGGTAGTTGCGCGCACCTTCGAGAGTGCGGGTTATCACGTAGAAGGTGGACGAGTGCATAGGCTCTTAATTATTAATTTTTTGGGATCATCTGGAGGGAGATGATGGCTTCATTCGAGAGATCAGAAAATTTCATGCGAAATGAAAAAAAAATTTATTCATTTTGCTTCAGCCGTTCCGGAGAAAATCCCAAATGAAATTCTCATAGATCATTATCGATCACTGGATCACATGCGTTTTCCGGTGTAACTCCGGTTCTATGGGAGCTAAATGGACCATCTTTTTTTCATCTTATTCCAAATTTTCGTATCTTTCTACAAACTCGGAAATTCATCTTATTCCAGATAACGCCAATATCTCATATATCTTACTACTTTACTTTTCATGTGATTGTACCGAGTAAATAGCGTGAGCTCCGAATCCGCCCCTTTTTTTACCACCCCCTTTATTTCTACAAGGAAACAAAACCCACCCCACCCCCTTTATTATCTTTATATCGAGTGTTTGAAAACCTGCGTGCATGAAAAACCAAAAAAAAAAATGATGAAAAGATTAATCGGAGCTTGCGCCCACTTTTCTTATCTAAATTTCTAACGACATAACAAAAAGCGTTTAGACGAATTTATTGTACCAATTTTGTATAGCCATAATTCATAAACAAATACCCATTAGAATTGTTTTCTGTAACTTCATCAATGTTTTATTCTATCGATTTTTATTGTAACCTAGAAATTTTTTTTCGTTTTTCTCTCCTTGTATTTTTGTACGATAAAGAACATTATATGAGTTATTGTTATTTTTATTTTTCATTTTGTAAAACACACACATACACACGTATATATATATACATTATATATTCACCGCTCAGTTTGGGCCAATTTTTAATTGAAAAATTAATCGATTAAGAGAATGGAGGAACTTACGGATTAGGATAAGAAATTTTTTCATAGTTTGTTATTGTTGTTTTGTATGATATTTGATTGAAAGATTATTAACAACTGGACACAGTGAATATTGAAATGTGTTTTTTTCCCTCTTTTTTTTTAATTGATTATTTCATTGTGTTCAGGGTGTTATGATTATTAATACTATATTTTTGTTAATAATACAGTGATTTGATAACTGCAGTTGATTTTGTTTACTTTTTTTTTCACGTGTTATTTGTTGGATAATTTTAGGATTACGATGAGAGAATATATTAACGATTGATGCAAATGACCTTGGGATCATCTAGATGATTTGAATCCGCCCAGATGATTCGTTTCAGTCTTGATTTTTCGTATAGATCATCGGTACCTTCTTGGATGATTTGTAAATTATTTTTTGTATTTTTATATGAGAGGTTTAAATTTTATCGATCAGGTCGATCATCTGGATCGTCTCGGGGCGCATTTCGGACAGAGAGCGAGATATTAGAAAAAAAATCGACCTAACCTCAAAATGTGGAATGAGCACAATTGGTCCTCGAGAGGGCGCGTCGATGTGTGTGATTTTTATCTAGATCTAACCTGTAGTCTTGTAAATGTGTCAAGGTCACGTCATTGAGGTGACGCCCCGAAATTTCATTAGGCAAATTTTTCATTAGGTGTTTATTATTGATTCAGGGGCGTCTACACCTCGAGGAGATTAGTTGTTGGAATTTTTGGTAGTCTAAGAGTAATCCTCGATAGTTAAATGTTGTCGTTTTTTCCCTTATTACTCAGATTTTTTTGGAATTGATCGGCGTGCCCGTTAAAACGATAACTAAATATATAAAAACGGGTATAACCCAGAATCTATGCGAGATAGCGAAGTAGAATGGTGCCATTTGAAACTTCAGAAAATTTCCAATAAAACGAAAAAAACTGAATTCATTTTGCTCCCACAGTTTGGGAGAAAATCCTAAATCAATTTTCATAGATCATTTATCTAGTTTGTAGATTACTCTCATGTTTTTCGTTGTAACTCAAGTTCTATGGAGCCAAAATGGTCGGCTTTTCCTTCATTTTGTCGGGAATTCTCCGAGCTACAAAATGGCGTCTACTACAAGTCACTACTCCTACCCCTTCCCCCGAAAAATCCCGAAAATGTAACGGAATGCACGCCGATCTGTCTCCACCGATGGTAAATCCACTCGAATGGAAGAAATCGTATTAAAAGACGTAGCTAACGTTTTACTATAAATATTATAAATAATATACATAAATATTTGCCACAATATAAATATATAAAGATTACCTATACTTATATAGTGACAATTGAGAGCAAAACGAGTACGATGATATCATGAAATATTATTATTCTTTGTTACTTCTTTATAATTAAAATGAAAAAAATATTGACAAAATAAACAAAAAAAAATTGCTATTTAAAAAATAATTAAGACCGATAAATAATTGATACTTGATGAGAGTGAGTGTCACGGGGGATCGTATTATACACGTAATATTCGGTTAGGGGTACGTGATGAGGATTTATTGATTACTCCAAAGCCTTGAAGCGTCGAATTGCATTTCATCGATCACCTCACCTCAATTTTCTTCACCCTTTTCTATTTTTTTTTTTCACCAATTGATGGCACGTCACGTCGAAAACTCGTCTGCAGCTGAAGGATCATCTCCGCTTTATTTTCACCCCCAAAATTATCCCGCCAGGTAAAACAATTATTATTTTCCCAACGCATCCGAGAAAAAACTCGGGAAATTTACCAACAAATTGAAAGAAAAATCATCCACTTCGGCCCTGTAGATCCGGAGAAAATCGTGAATCAATTTCCATCGATCATCGATTGATAGATCATTTTGACATTTTTCGTTGTAACTTTTGGTCTATCGAGGCTAGATCTAAAATTTTTTTTTTAATCTGTTGGTAAATTCCTTGGCATATTTTGTGGGGCAGTGCCCTCCCTTCCCCCCCGTGCCATTTTTAATGAATCATTAATGAGTGCATTAGCCCGCTAGATTATCCGTGGGCGGTGCATTAAAATGCATGAAGTGCTGTGGTAGAATCATACGAGTCGACGTAATACGAACGCATGATTATTTTTTTTATTTCATTCTTCAGTTCTCCATTACAAAGAGAAACAGAGAGGGGATACATGAAAAATCGTAGGAATGTGTGACGTTTTCATCGTGGGAGAGGAAAAAAAAAGGGAATGGGTGTGAGTCATCAGTGATATCCGATAGTTTATAACGATTCAATGACAGTTAAAAATCTCAATTGTTGATTAGATTTTATTCTAATTGAAATCGCCACTTGATGCGATGAATTTATAATTTCATATTTTTCCATTTCATCGAGAATTTCAATTGGATTCCATTGATTACTTAACATTAAGTGGAACTACTAAAGTTAAGAAATAAAATGACAAAATCTATATTTTAAATTGAATAATTCTTGTATCGAAAAATATCGTAACTGTATATTCGATTTTATATTCTAAAGAATGAACTTTGTATTCACATCTATTTATGTATAACTGAATGAATAGTTTTTCCTTCAGGATAGTTAATAGATAAGTAAATAAACAATTGATGAGTGAATCTATGAGGGGTGAGAGGTGATGTAGAACGGAATTCCGAGGGATTTGATGATATTCTGTGTCTAGTCTAAGGAACCGGCACCTGAATACGTAATGCGAGGGTTCAACGTTTAATTCATTAATTCCCTAATTTATTATTCACCTTGAGAACTAAAATACTGGATCATTGCAACCGGTGAAATTTTTTTTTACTGCGAAAATTTTGTATATGATGAATTATTTCCATTTATGAGAATTGGAAATTTTTGATAATAATTATGATAATGAGCTGTGTAACTCTGTCATCCATCATTTAAATAATTTAAACCATTGGGGGACCGAAATGGCAATTGATTATCCATTTTCTTTCTAATTATTAATTTAAAAAATTATTGTCACTGGGAATAACAGCGAGAATAATTGAATGGGTCGTCCAGAGTTGTGTATGTGCGTTATCACAAGAAAAAAAAAAACCTCAGATGAAAAAACGGAGAAAAAAATGGAGAAATCGAGAGTTGCGTAAATAAACAAAAGGGATAATACCAAAAAATACTCACTCGTAGGCGTGTAAGGGTACACACTAGTTGACGTAGAGAACCATTAGCGAGAATAATTACCGATTAATTAATGAAAAACTGCATTACTAATTTAATGAGAAAAATCGATATATATTACTACCTAAAAAATACGAATGAATAAATTTGAAAATACTATTAATTAAAAAAATAGTAGATGTAGAGGTAATTTTCTACAGAAATTTTTGCGCATTGTATACGCATATTTATGAGTTAGGGAGACAATATTACGTTGGCTGTTTTTCCTCTCAACAAAATGCGTCCCTCCATTTTGTGAAACGATTTGGCGTCACGTTGCCCTCGGTATTTTAACATTAATCTCGTTATCTCGATTGTCAGATGGTGTATATCGAGATATCGATTAAAACGTGTACCAGTGATTAACGAAATGATTTCGTGACGATAAATCGTTACACCAGTTCCATTCGTCCTGGAGTCGTCTCCGTGTTACTTCTTTCGTGTTGAACATATCTGTATGGTTAAAAGAGCTCTGCTTATGCTATTCAAAGTAATTCTCGTAACGTATGAACTATTGATGTTGACAGAACAATTGTTTACACGAGTGATTCTAACAAATGGCGAAAATCATCATTTCGTGATTAACGGGAGAAATTAAAGCGTGAACATCTCGAGACGAGAAAATCACCCACAAATTAAATTCAAGAAGCCGAACGTGTCCCTCCAATTATTAAAGTGAATACGGCATTTGGAGGCTCTATTTTTTTAATTTGTGGGTTAACCCTTTCCGAAAAATATTCGCAATCACAATAATCGAAATGATCGATTGAAATCGTCGAGACGATACCAAAAATGAACATTACCCGTTAAAAAACACATGAATACACCAATGAAACAAGATAAAAACGAAACAGTCATCCTCGCCAATAAAACTAAAGAAAATTGTTAAACTTCCATCAGATCAACATCACAAGAACAGACAATTTTTAATAAAAATATAAACCGTCAAAAAAAAAAAATTATTTAAACAACTACTACTGTTGAATCGATGTCGATATGTCGTATTTGTCCTTTTTCAATTTACAAAATCTCTCTTTGTATTAAAAACAAAAAAAAACATGGATAAAAATACCAATGAGTGTACTAACGTTCGATAGCCAGTGTGTTTCTATAGTTCATAATAAAAAAATAGATGAGTTTAAAGAAACATCACAAAATGGGGATATTGAAGATCCTGAGCGCAGCTACACTTTGTACATGATGATTGTTAATTAAAAATCAACACCGACATGACGGGATAATTATGAGTATCATAACGTAAGTTAATTAGTGGCGAGGACGATCACTCGTTCGTGGATTAATTGAGGGGAGAATTCGAATTTAATATTGAGAGAGAGAGAGAGAGCGGGGATTATTTAGGCTCTTGGATCATTTTATGCACGTGAATCGATGAGTGGGCGTGGCTTATGCCGGAAGTTGAGCACATGAGGCTCCAGAATTTAATTATGGGGGTCGATTTGCCATCGGGGTTCAATGAATCGATTTTTCAAGTCGTCGTTTGAATGAGACGAGAAAATAATTCGTGAAGAAATAAAATGAAATAGTTTCATGATTACGTCATTCGATAGATCGAAGAATTTAATCTCGAATTAAAAAAAAAATTGTTCATTTTGCTTCAGGGGTTCGAGAGAAAATCCCGGTCAAAGTTTTTTTTACGTCATTTATCGATCTATTAGTTTTTTTTTTACATTTTTGGCCGTATCTTGGATTTTAGATGAGCGATATGTTTGATTTTCCCTCCATTCGGTAGATCGGAAGATTCTCGATGACGAGGGGGAGAAAATTATTAATTTTTATGTGATAAAGCAGGAAAAAATCCTAATTTCACTTACGCTAGATCATCGATCAGTCGATAGATTCTATTTTCGGCTGCCATTTTAGTTCTATGGGCGCAAAATGAGCGAATTTTTTTTTGACTCCATGTAAAATTCTCTGGTCTATCCATTGGGGTCATTGGATACCCCCCAATTCAAACCTGTCATAGTTTTATTTACTCTTTTCATTCAAGACGGAAATGTTAATTGATGTTAAGGGTCTCATATGATATATCGAGTCTGCGATGGGATTGAATAAAAGTTATCATCAAAAAAATAAAGAGGGGATAACTATTGGCCTAATTCTATGTGTCATCAGTGTATTACGTACCTTAAAGAATGAAAAACTAATTCATTGAAGAAAAATAAACAAAAAATAAACTAATTTAAACTCTAATAAAAAATACAATTTACCTACCTTAAATCGCCAAAGTATTAAACGCAGATTATTCTTGCAGTGAAGGAGGGAATACATTAGAATTAATTTCCTCGATTTTTCTATTCGTAATTAGCCTCTATTACTTTTCCAACAAATAGAGTAATATTGAATATTCCTTTCGTAACTTTAGAATTTTGGAATGATTTTATTGCGTATTGAATGTGATAGCAATATCTAGACTAACTATTACGTTAATTAATTCTTAATTCCTCAACTAATTAGTTGAATTAAATTGTAAACCATAAGAACCGTTCACCGGTTCTCTTTATATCTCCAAAAAACTAATTAGTGAGAAACTGAAGGGTTTCCCTCCCATAAAGAGAAAAAAAACAGAAATATAAATAATTTTAAAAAATTGAAACTAAATAAACCAGAAAACACAGACGTACATATATCTATAAATATATGTGTATAATAGTCTATAATTTTTCATATTGTTGTACGAAAATTTTTAAGTTTATATTAAAACAAATGTTTTTGTGTATCATATAAAAAAAGAATTCGCAACGAAAAAAAAAAGAAATAATTTATCTAGTTTTACGTTAATTGTCTAATTGAATTACCCCCTCTCAATAATAACAACTCCAACAATCAGTGATAATAATTTTTTTATTAATTTATAAAGTGGAATAAGGGGAAAAAAAAATACTTTCAATTTATTTTTTGTTACAAGTAAAATTAAAACACTCGATACTCGATGATTCGTCGAATGTCCGACAGACCGGGGAATCCCCCATATGCAAAAAAAAAATGAAGTCCCCGCAGCAATTCACCTCGCACTCCCCGATCATCAACTCCACAAAATTGAAAAAAAAAATCTCAACTTCATTACAAGAAATAATTAACCAGCAGATGGTTACGCAGATCGTCAGGATGACACAGGTAATTAATCTTCACCATAAACCATGTCACGCATTTATTATGCAATAATGTCCATCGTTACAGAAAAAAAAGTAAATTATCTTACACTCTACAGAGTTCTATCGACTAAAGCCCCCTCCCCTCGGAAGCCACGATGATCCTAGCCTCGAAACCTAACCTAGAATACCAACCAAAAGCCTAAAAAATCCCTACGACAAAACTCTTACGATCCTCACAGTATCGCGTCAAAAGATTTCTACTGAATAATACAAAATGATTCTTAACATTACGTTCTGTACAAATGTCCTCTGAACATTGAAAATCTCGACGCCCCCTTACCTAACTTAATCTATCATCCTAACCTAACTGACGCCCTCATGAATCTTGACATAATGGATCTTCATAGCCTTAATATTGGGATACTTGATTTTGCAAATGGGACATACCCTGCCATCGGCCCCCTTAACCTCATAACTCCCCAGATCAGTTTTTCTGTAGAAGAGCTGAGTCTTCTTGCCCTCCACCTCGCCGTTGTGCTCATTGAGAAGATGACCATCGATGGCAGAGCGATTGAACATGTGCCTGGAGCACAGGTTGCAGCTGTATAGAATGTTCATGTGACTCTTCTCATGTGCCTGTTTGGCTAGTGACGTATCAAAGACTTCTTCGCAGTCGTCCATGGTGCAGTAGTGTTTGTCACCATTTCCATGGACTTTGGTGTAATGCTGTTTCATGTTGGCAGGATTAGAGAAGACCTTGTAGCACTCGGTGCAGGGTACACCCTCACCCTCGACCTCGCCCTCGTCCACCTCCAGGGGCTTCCCAATGCTGCTCTTGTGGACGTTCTGACGATGCTTGTAGAGAGAGCTCATGCTTGGCAGTAGTTTTTTGCATATTCCACAGGTGACGGGCTTCTTCGGTGGATTAGGTGTTCCAAAGCTGCTTCCCGATGGCTCACCCAGGTGATAAGCCTTTCTGATAATGTCAAAGTCAAGTTTCGGTCGTTTGGGCTTGCCATCTTCATCGACCTTCGACGGTGACGGAGTCGTTGACTTCCTGGGTAACGAGTTGAGTGACTTTCTGACGTAGTGAGCAGCTGCTTTGTGCTTTTTCATGGATGTCTCGTTGTTGAATACCTTCTTGCAGACTGGACAGGGGAAAGAAGTGGGTGTTGTCTTCTTGAGAGACTGTAGCTTCATTCCGGTTACAGGAGTTGTCTTGTGCAACTTCTTGTGCTTCCAGAGGGCCTTCGTCGAGCTGTAGAATTTGCCGCATATGTCGCAGGATATGTCAACAGGCCTGGTGACCTCCGCCAGGATAGGATTCTCCTTGTGCCACCTCATGTGCTCCTCGAGTGCCTTCTCATCCGGAAAGACATTAGTACAGAGCTCACACTGCAGATCACCAACAAATGACTTCTCTGACTTGTGCTTTTGGCAGTGAACTTCCCACAGGTGCTTCCTCAATTCCGAAACGTCCGTGAACGAATCATCGCAGACAGCGCAGGCCAAAGTAGTCGGTGACATTGACTGCTTGAAGCTCGGCGTTGGGAAGGACTTCTTGGCTTTAGCCGGACGTGGTGTCATGGTTATCTCTATCGGCTCCTCCGTCATCTCCACCTGCACCTGATCCAGGGGATGTGGCACCGATCTGATGGACAACCTCGAGTCCCGCCTAAAGTGGTGACCTCTGTGAATCTTCAATGATGTCTCATTACTGAAACGTTTGCCACAGATGTCGCAAGCCAGATGATCATCCTCCGCCATTCCATGCGCCTCCTGAAGATGACCGGTCAGCATCTCCTGAGTTTCAAACATGTTCTTGCACTGTTGACACTTGTGCATCACCACGTCTGGAGGCAGTTCCTTGGGATGTGCCCTCTCTGCATGCTGATTCCACAGATCCTCACTCGTAAATGTTTTGGGGCACTTCGGACAGCTGAACCGACCAGCAACAATGTGAACCGTCCTGATGTGCCTCCTGAGATTCGGATAGTTGGCGAATATCTTGCCGCATGTGGTGCACTCGGTGCTACGACCATGGGAATTCTCCATAGGCACGTAATCCGGTGCATTGATGTCCGAGTCCGACTGATCCAATCCATCATCCATATCTGGATCAACAATCTCCACGTGATTCTGACCCTTCATATGACCCTTGGAATGCGTCATCCTGTGCTGTGCAAGCTCTTCCTTAGTCCCGAACTCTTGCGGACAAACAGCGCAACCAAATTTCATCGTAACTTTCATACTCGAGTTGTAATTCTTCCAAACACCTTTAGCATCATCATCTCTAGCCTCATCAGCTCTGGTGGCGGTGCGGTGCTGCTGATGATGCACCAGGTACTCATTCGAGTGCTTAAATTTGGCATTGCACTCGTAGCAGACGAGATCTTTCTTGTTGTGCTCGAGTGCAATGTGAGATTGAAATTTCTTGAAGACGAGGAACGTCATGCCACAGTGAGCGCAACGATACGACGTTCTCTCGTCCGGAGGGAGACGTTTGCACAAGTCCTCGTGCTTCAGCATATTGGGTTTATATCGATAAATCATACCGCAGTAGTCGCACGTGTGATTGTGCGCTGGATCGCCGTGACGGTATGGTCCAGGTGGCGCTGCTTTAGTTTTCGGGGACTTCAAGGAAGCGGATGTTGTGAGGGGCTCGTAATGCTTGTCCGAGTGTTTTGACAAGTGACTGAGCAGTTCTTTTCGATTTGGCATCGGCCTAAGGCACATGTTGCAAGTGAAATACTTCTCCGTGCCGTGTTTTGGTACCACAAGGGCAATTTTCATAGCGCAATCGAATGACGCACCACAATGGAGTTTGTATATCGAACGATCGGGAAATTCTGTGAGGCATGCAATGCACGTGTAAGGGCGTAAATCCGGCATATGCTGGCGTATGTGATTGAGAGTGCTACGACGATCGCTAAACACTTGTTGACACGAGTAGCATGAGAATGTTTTTAACTGACTTATTATGTTTTCTTGGACTTGAGTCAAGGGGGCATTTTTCTCCATCGACAGGAGCTCGTCCTCCACGTCCTCTACCATCTCTATGTCCTCGTCAATTGATTCAGATTTGTCCGTTGATGGGGCACGATATGACGGACCGTTTCGCGATTTTCCCGCGCTATGGTAACGCTCCATGTGACTCTTGTACGACGATTTTGAGTGCAAGTGAATCATGCAGTGGGGGCATTTGCGTTTGAATACTTTTACACCGCGGAAGTGGGTGTGGGGGCCTCTTTTTAATTTTTTACGGTGGGTTGAACGGTACTCCGAGGGATCCAGCAGATCTTTTGCTGCTGCTGCCATCGGATTCAGCAGTAGCTCTGTACCCGATTCTCCTTCTGGAAGGAACCCGGGGGTTAGCCCATTTTGTGGATGCATTTTTCAGATAATTTACTAGCTATAGTAAATCATTATTTTCAATTATTTATTTATTAGGAATTTTATTACGTTTGCAGTGGTCAAAGTCTTCTGATGCCTTACAATCTTGAATATTGAAAACTGAATGGCATTAATGCCCTTTTTTGTTCAATCGAGAAAAATAATTAGGGTTTCAAGTGAAGCTGTAGCTAATAAATTATTTAACGTAGAGCTAAAGCTCAAGTTGTTGGGAAATTTAATAATTGTTGACTTCGGTTGTTACTTAATGGCGTTAATTGATATTGAGTCCAGTTTTTATCGTCGGTTGCTCGATTAAAATTTAAGGCTTTTCAGGGAAGAGAAAGTGTAGAAATGTGAGAAAAATTTAATACCTGAGGAGTTACTTGAAGATCTGCGACGTTTGGAGCGAGGGCGGGAAGGGACCTCTGGGATGTCTTCCATATTCTCCATGGGATCGATCACATCCTCTGGGGGCGGCATGTCCTCTGGATCCATTGGCTCCGATTTTATGTGAGTTATCTGAGGAAAGAGAAACTGGACATTTTCAAATTTATCAAATTATTCAGTTCACACAAAAAATCATATCCATTAAGCCTCGACACAAAAAAAAATGGAGATCCATTAAAAAATTTTTCAATCCCAAATGAAAAAAAATATATTTCCAAAAACCCATATTTCCATAAAAAATTAAATAAACTAAAATAAAAAAAACTCAATTTATTTGTTCTAGTTCAATTTCTTCTCTTGAAAAATTCCCCTTCCCGCCAAAAAAAAAAAGAAATGTTGAAAACGAATGAAAACTCAATGGCCTAAAAATGCAAGATGCCCTCCTTCCCCCTGTTCCCCTTCCCCAACCTACCACATCTCCACGCTTCTCTAGCCATCTCTGCAGCTTCTCCTGAGACCTGAGACAGCTATCCCTGTAGCTGTACCACTGATTAACACTCTTGACGCAGTTACCACAGATAAGTTTGGTGAAATTGTCATCATGAAGCACCTGAAATCCAAAGCGTTAGCAATAAATCCCCCAGAACCAGTCTCATCCCACCAGCCACTCCAATCACCAAAGATGGATGACACGACGCCATAACCTTGTGCCACAGTCCAGCTAGACTCGATGATTCAATTGATACATCTACGTTCAATTAAATCATCCAAGGCATGAGCGGCTAGATGCCACAGTGATGACAGGATTGATAAAAAATAATTCATGCAAATTGAATTGAGTGACTGGATCCATACCTCGATGCTGAGACAGTTTTGGATCTTCTCAGCGAGTGGTACTGCCTCTTGGACGCCGAATATCGGTGACTTGGGCTCGTCCTTTGATAGACACAAACGGCACACATTGTCCAGCGTCTCCAGCTCAACTACTTCGTCCATTATTCAGGACATAAAATACTCGGATGTAGTTTTGATTTAGTGGCGGGGGTGGAAGTGATGATGATCAACGGTGGTACGTCGTGTGGTGGTGATGGAGGCTGCAGAAGGTTAGGGACGCAACGTTTTGTTTGCTCGCCGACATTTGAACGCGCGGAGCTACCACCGAGGCATCAAGTATCGCATCGAGCGGTTCAAGGGGTTCAGTTTTGGGCTTGATGGGCTCTGGGGGATTCTGGGAGTTGGCGGCGCTGTCATGTGTCAGTTACAGATGATTATCACAGGTGGCGACACTGCCAGCGCTTTCAAACACTTGACGTTCAAGTTCCATTGAACGAATTCAATCGCATCAATACCAACTTGTCTTTTTTTTAATTCTACTATTTATTTATCCTTTTTATTTTTAACGCTTTTTGTTCATTTTCTCACTGAACAGACCCAGGAAAAATGGAAGATAAAAAGAAAGAATTCTTATTTCAAGGTTTTTTTAATATCGATTTTTACGAATTTCGGAGATTTAATTACGAAAATGAGAGAAAAGTCAGAGTGAGAGATTTTTAAAAATCTGATTTTTCCGCGTTTTTTAATTAATTTTAATTTTTCCATTCATTTTTTAAAATTAAAATGTCATTTGGTCCATGAAGGTCAGGATTAGGGATAAGTACAGGAAATTTTGAACGGAAAATCATTGTCTCGATAAATTGAGTTATTTTTGCAACTCCACTCGGAGACACGTTTTAATCTGTTTTTTTTTATTCACTTTTTTACATAAAATTTTCCAAAACATAAAATCAGTTCAGAATGTTTCGGTTCTCACCATAAGCTGTAACAAGACTAATCTGACAATAATTTTCTACCACCAAAAAAATTGTGCACTCAAACATCAGATTGTGCATAAAAAAAAAAATTGAATTTGGTCCTTGACATTTGTAAATTCGTGTTTTCAATTGATTGAACCAAGAAAGTGAAACGATAGTACAACAATTGACATCAATCTACGAGATTTCGTTTCGGAATTACCAGAGTTATTGATAATTCATTAATTTACTCATTAACCCACGTTAATTTGCATGGACTAATGAAATCAGTTTGGTCTCTCAATTTTGCTGAAGCGAAGCTACTTTACATCCAATTAATAAAGTAGACGATAATATTTGCGTATATTTGATATTCAGGAGCCTGTCCCTTTTCTTTTTCCATCCCCTATCGTATTTTCTTTCGATAATTCATCAGACAAGTGGAGTCAAATAATAATCAACAAATGGATGAATCAGAACAGCTTGAATTACCAACAACAACATCGATTATAACATCTAATGCCACAACCTTTCTGATGAATTCACCCTTCAATTGTACCTATCGATCGTCATTAAACTGAATGAATCAATCGATCGATTCAAGTTGTCTGGCAATTGCTCATGAAACAGGTACTCTTCCGAGATTGTTCGCGAACATAATCTTGAACGTTGAACTTCGTGTCGTCAGGGTCCACATTTTTTCGAGCCTTTAACTGCCTGGAACACGACATAATCCAATATCAAGTATTTTTCCCCTATCAATATTTTTTAAATCTAATTTTCACTCCAATAAAAAAATTATCTAGTCCGAAATATTTTTTAATCTTTTGAACTTTCAATTCAACTTTTATCAATAATTCAATTAACTTAATTAATAAACGATTTAATTTAATAAAGAAATCGAAATGCAGGAAAAAATGTGAATGAAAAAATAATTTTCCAGTTCAATTGAATTAATGAAAATATATCTTCGATTGATTCTTCGATAAACCAATAAAATTTACTTTGCAATTGCGAAAAATGCCAGTTCAACATTAGCTCCAGTCCGGGCTGAAGTCTCCATGAATGGAACATCGTATTCATCAGCCAGACGCTTTCCATCCTCTTTCTTCACCATTCTCTCTGTTCCACAATCCGCTTTATTCCCTAGTAAATAAATTTTCCATTTAATGGACGAAATCGATCATCAGCTCTTTAAACGTCCGAGGATCTGCGGGAGATGCCCAGACGTTAACGAGAACTTTAAACACTAAAGCACCTCAATATAACAAAAATTATTCCCTCCATCTCTCAACCGTTAAAAAAAAAACACGACTAACATTTATTCATCTATTTTTCCATTAAAAAAATAATCCCAAAAAATCCAATTTCCCATATAATTGTTAAAAAAACAAATCCAAAAATTGATGGAAAATGATTTTTTTTCTAAAATTATTATTGTTTTTTAAACAATTACAAAATCATAAAAAAATGAGATAATTATCTACATAAGATGTAATTATCGGCAATAATATTTAACGATCATTGCCGAGAGTAGATCGATGGCGTTGATATTAAATATTGAATATAATCATGGATTGGGGCTAGTTGTTAATTTGAATAACACGATGTAGTATCAATAATATTACGATACCTAGTAGCATGATGACAACGTCGTTCTGAGCATATTCCCGGATCTCTCCAAGCCATGCCCTGATGTTATCATAACTAGTCTTGTTCGTCACGTCGTAGAGCAATAGCAGCGCTGAAAAACCAGTCGGTTGGCTCATCCATTATGTAATCACAGGGAGGGCTTCTCGTGTCGTATGGGACATGTACATGGATTTGAATAATCTGGATGGAATAACGTACATTTCGATATTTATGAAGTATTTAAGTTATGGCCTCTTCAACCCAAAATTATCAGTTGAATAATTTTACCCAAAGTTACGAAAATACCCGTTATTTCATTCACTTAGTACAACTCATTAATTTATAATGTGAAATTCATTCGGGCATGTAATGAGATGACAATGTAATGAGACTATGATTCAATCACGAAATATTCGAGTACATGCATCGCCATGTAATTTTCTCAGATCAGTTCATTAATTAAATTAAAAGTAAATTGAATGATAATAATAATGATAATAATATTGATATTATTAATAATAATAATAAGAATAATAATAATTGAAGCACACGATTTTCAAATAGTGATAAACCCAATTAAATAAATTTTGTTGTGATGATTGCATCCCGTGATGACGACAGTTTGTTTAAGAGTTGATTGTCATGTGAACAAAGATTGAAACAAAACAACGGAAAACAGAAAAAACAGAAAAGTACATTAACTCACTAGACAATCTTCTACCGAACAACATGCGCCCAATGGCATTGAAAATCGGATGAAACCGGTTCCCAAAATGAACGCTAATAGACTAAATAATTAGGGGTATTTAGACGTCTCAAGGAATGACTGATAATTGAATGGACAATTTTCAATCGCGTTACATGCAGCTGAGCGTAATAAATCTCAAACGACTGGAATTCCTCGATTTTTTGATTATCATTTTATTTCGAGAAGCTGTCGTCTGGGAGAAAATGTCAAAATATATTTGGAGGGGATTTCTCGGGAGATTAAAGAGATTTTTGGACGTTTTCTCGTTATCAATAATTACCGGGATAATTGCATTTTTCTGGGATATCCCCGTAGGGTGGGATCACAGAAGAATAATTAAATCCCGCGGTTATCAAATATTTTACCGTGAGCGTCTCTGTAGTACGCGTGTGTCACACTACGAAATCTCTCCTGTCCCGCGGTGTCCCATATCTGGAGCTTGATCCTTGTATCTCCAACTGTCACAACTTTGTTCTAAAAATGAAAATTATCTTTGGTCGAGTTTTGCCTCGATATGCGAATCAAAACCGAAAAATAACTGAAGGGAAACACCCGGGGGTGCGGTATTCCACATAAAATAATATATTAAAAAAATATGTGATACTGACCAATTGGATAAATTCTTGCAATATACATGGAATTTATATAAAATATATATGCAGCATATAAGTTTATATTTATATCACTTTCATATATATACTCGGCGAGTATAAAAGAAATAGAAAGAAATTATGTAATTATACGAATAGATAATTTTTTGTATGGAAAAATCGATAGATCGGAGAATTGATCCACAAATTGACAATGAAAAACAAATCTATTAATTGATGAATCAATTATCAGATTTATCGATTACCATCGGTTCTATTCAAGTTGACTGATTGATTGCTTAATTACGAATTAATTAATTTGACAAATTGATTAATTGCACGGATTAATTAAGGTACATGACCAGTGAGATGAGGTAAAAATGACGCCAACGGAAGAAAATCGGGCGGCATTTACTATTAAATTATCGGATTGTGGGAATTGATCGGGGAACAGAGGAGATGTGCGATGCATTTTGAAATATTTCTCACCCTGAAATCTATGCCAACCGTGCTTATGTGATTCCCCGAGAGGAATCTACCGTGCCGGAATCTCGTGAGAAGGCAGGTCTTTCCCACACCGCTGTCACCCAATAGCATGACCTATCATTTTGAGCAAAAAACTATAATTAAAAAAAAAAACGAAAAAAAATCGCGTTCATTTCTTTCCAAATCCACCGTGAAAATTTTTCTGATTTCCCGTCGGCTCCATGGAAATATTTTTTTCATGGAAATATACACATCTACATATTTTTCCATGAGTAAATTATTCCGCGAATATGCACACAAATCCATGCCCCACGAGTCCCAATATCGAACCCGCAATCGCGAATTAGAAAGTCAAGAAGTATCAGGAGTGAATTAGACCTTGAAATGTAATTCCGTGGCCTCGGGTGGGGCCTGTGGTTCGCCGGTGCTGTCGTGGGACGACTGTCGTCTCACAGTGGGCCCGTAGCCGGTGGTGGGGGCTGTGTGGGCCCGTGACGCCCCACCGTGGGACCCAGGGTTGGGCCAATCGTGTGAGAGATCGTTGGGACCGGAGGAACGCTGCGAACGCGTCCCACCAGGTCGCGCTGCCTCCTCCACACCTTTCATGCGCTCCTGGTATCACGAGCACCAATTTGCTCTTCTTCTTCTCGGCCACTCCTCGTCGTCCAAGTCGCGAGTTATGTCGTTTTCACGTACTATCCTGATTTTTTTTTCTTCCCCTCGCTTTCTTTCGTCGACGGCGGCCTGTGGTGTTCGCCGTCTTTATTTTATTTTTATTTTTTAATGCCCGCTTTTTTTTTACTCTTATTTTTTGGTTTTATTAACCACCAGAACGCACTTCTACCTCAAGTCTCGAGCGTCGGGGAGGTCAATCAACTCTGTTCCATAAGCCTGGTAAAAGGCAACCGGCGCGAGCCAACGGATTCGTATGTAGGCGAGAGTCACTTTTGGAGTCTTATTAAATCATCGGTAATGTATGAGGATTCGAGAATTATTCTCGCGGGGATCGGAGTCGGTGGTTTTTTTTTAAAAACTTTTTTTGGTTTTAGTCACGATCCATTAAGTCAAATCAAGATCCAGAATGATTGACGCTTTTCAAACCAGGTTGCTATCTCATTGAAATTTTGCTGTGATGTACTCCAATCTTAAAAAAATCAAAACGAATTGCTAGAAAAATTCGCGATCCTGTAATCCCGTCCCGTAAAACATCTAAATAATCAATTGCTGCGGTTGCAATTGAGAGGGAAGGGAGCGCCGATGGATCGGAAAATTCGTCGTCGGATTAACAAAAAAGTATCACTACAATGCCGCGGTCTCGAGGATTTGAGGATGATAGTGCTCATGAATGTTTTAATGAAGTGACAAATATGGGAGGAGAGGGATCGATGAATCGGAAGATTACCGGTTGAATATAAAGAAGGGGATTAGATCAATTTTGATATCTGGACAATTTCTGATGTGTGATGGGGAGTTTTTTATTTTCTCCTCGACCGAAAAGTAGCAACACGACAAAGTGCATTTAACGAAAGTTTCATTTCCACTTCCGTCACCCGGAAGCAATAGAACTCATTATCAACTTGTCAAGCTGTCGATGGAAAATACGAGCAGATGCCATTATCAGACACGTCCGTTGCAGTCTATCAACCCATAAAGTAGTTGTTATTCTCATTTTTAATTTAGATTTGCAGGTAGTTTATGGATTATGAAATCGATGATTTATCGTGATTTCAATGGCGTGATCTTTTAGAACTTATTTGCTCTGACGGAATCCATAAATTCCCTCTCCAACGCCACTTGGGGGTCTTATCGCCACCCATTGTTCTCAGAGAGTAAACCCTAGGCCCAAACAATTTTGTTTTGAGTTTTCTAAGAACTCGGGGTACAATCGGCCTCGAGAAAGTTACAATAGTCGAGGAACTGTGAACATCGCACGAAAAAATAGTTTTCTCCGAGTGCAACATAAAATTTTCGTATGGGGCGGTATAGTTTGACATTACTTGTTGTTAATAATATGTGCCACTTCGCGTGTCCTCCTATTACCCATATCGTTGATTAATTGCTTAATAGTATTTCTTAATTAAATGTTTCTGGGGCACATCAGATTGACAATGGCTGCGACCTCCGTCCTTCTTCCTCTGAGACTCACTCAAGATCGAAAAGAAGAAATTGTCAACCGAAATCGTGACGAGAAGGACAGCCGGCAATGAATGATTATCTCATTATAATTTTTCAGTTCTTTCGGCAATTAATTGTCAACGACTGAATTACAATTACAGAATCATAACAATTGTTTCTGAATTTGTTCAGGGATCCCGTCTTCTATAAAATAAGGGAAAGGTAGATAAACACTGAATAAATATAATAAATCCAGCGATGATGACGATACCCTACAAAAATGAGTGCGTGGAGTCGTCGCCGATGTTCAGCCGACATACCGCCGACATTTGGCGTCTGTTTCGGTTGAAAAATTCCCACGGCTCTTTTCAGGTAAATTTTAGATTTTTTTTCGGGAAAAAAAGGCGTGGATTAGACGTTAGAACCCACCCACGCCCCGAGCGAGCCGCCAACATGTATACGAGGAAAGAGGCGAATAATAAATGTAAACGAGATGGGTCTCTAGGGCTGAATGAATGTGGCTCATTGTATTTTGGAGAATGGGTCGAGGCTTGGGGCTTTCTGGATCACCCGACTAGTGGCGCCCTGACCCCAAGTACTCGACGCCAACAACCGCCGATGGTTTTTTTTTTTCTCCACCTCCCTCCCAATCCTCTAGCGCCATCTTTTCACGGCAATTGTGTGACACACACTGGTGAGCAGAGAGGCCTCTGTGCACGACGTTGTAAAATCCCCGGACTCTCTCGCTCGCTTTGTGCTCGGCCACTGACACGACACTGTCACGTGACTCACGTGACCGAGAGAAACGCTGTTGCATCAATTGCCAGTTTTTTTTATTTTTTTTTTATTTTCTGTAATTTTTTTTTGAATTTTTTTTTAATTAAAAAAAATTGTTTTAAAAAATTGTTGTTTTTATTTTTTATTTTGTTTTTTTTTTTTGGATCCAGAAATGACCCTTTTGGTAAATCCAAAAATAGGATATGAATGTTTTAAGGAAAAAAAACTTTTTTGATTTGTTACCTTTTTTAAAAAATAGAGATTGAACTTTGGTTTATTGTATGAAGTTAAAAGTGATCGTATTGTCTTGAACAAGAATGTGAAATTGATATTAGAAATTAAATTTCTTCTGTTAAAAAAACTCACAATTTTTTTTTGACATTGCAACTGGCATTATTGAAAAGATCATTCATCATCAGAATTAGAAAGGGAATATTGAAAGTTGAAAAAAGTTGTTTTCATTTAATCCCGTGAAATGAATTCCGAGACTTTTTATTTAATTTTCCACAAACCTATTCGGGTCAAACAGGTCGTATTTTTTAAATAGTAATTTCCTGAATTATGACCCATTTTTTTTGGTTTTTAAAAAGCGGGTGATGTTTTTCTATCAATTTAACGAGAAATTTTTCCGGGTATGTAATGAGCGCGATTTTCCTGCGGTAATACGGATAATTCCGAGTGCTGTTACTAATTAATTATCTGTTCGGATTTAATGATTAAACTGATATAGATCGGATAATGATTGAATTTTGATGAGCACTGGAATATGTAATAGCTTTTTTTGATATAAATGATTTTTCAGTAGATTTCAATGAAAAAATTTGCCATTTCTTCACTCAGAGTAACTATGACATTGCGGATCATGGACTGACGTGGACTTACATCAGTACGACTTCAATCCAGTAAAATGTCGGTCTCGGCAATAATCTTTATCATCATAGTGAAGAAAAAGGGATACTTGGGGATAAAATCGCTCGGGATTTGAACCAGCGATGTGTCACTTGGGAGAACTACCACTTTACCAACTGCGCTATCACACCATTCCATTTTTTAATCTAAACTTAAAAATGACTATTCATCATCGAGAATTTCCCGGAATCCTTAAATGCCCGACGACACCTAAGAATTCCTGATTTATCAATCAATAAAATTACCACACATCAAAATTCATTATTCATTTCGAATTTAATATTCAATCCAATTTTCACTGTTGAATTTAAAACCCGGATTTCACTAAATTGGAAAATTAAAAAAGCACAGAAAATCAGGAAATTTCCGAAAATAGACAGAATTTTATATTTTTGTATGGAATAAAAATTCTGTCGTTTCTGTTGTCCAGGAAGAAAGGGATTAATTGGGATCAATTAAATTCCTGCGAAACACCGGAAATTCACGGATTTAATGAACATTAATAGCAATTCGGTGAGACGGCTAAATAATCCTAATTATTTGGTCAATTACCGTTTATTTCAGTCACTGATTTCATCCGATTTTCGCGTGATTAGACTCATTAGGTTCGTTGGAATATTCTTAATTAAGTTACGGTAGGGCTTAAAAAGCCACGGCGAATTATCGCGAACGTCATAACAAAAGCGCTGACATTTTCCAGTCCCCGGGAATAATTAATCAATTCCGAGAATTTCTCTTTGTGAGTTGGTAATCAAAGGATATTCTCCATTTTTTTTTTCGACTCGTCTGGGGAACAACTGGGGGACTTTTATTAAATTTTGATTGTGAAAAGCTGAGTAATTTAACTGCAACTACACCAGTTACTCAGTCCTTTCCCAGGATATACCCCACGTTAAATTCACTTTTTAATTCGCGTCAACTCTCCACTACCTGTTTTGTTAATCAACTTTGACGTAAATGCGTTATCAATGTTTTCGGGATCAGGTTCGAGGTTTAATGATGTTAAGGGGGCCTGTTTAATTAGCGCAACTTCGTTCCCAGAATTTCGGGAGAGTTTGAAATATTGTTTATTCGCGGGAATTTTTTTGCGGCTGGAGAATTTTTTTGGAATTTCTGGAAAACTGATATAAATCAATTTCGAGAACATAACGTTCCGTGATATTGAAATATAATAAATTGTCATGAATTTCTTGAAAACTCGAGAAATTCCGAAAAATTATTGAATTAAATTCTTTATCATTATTGAAAATCAATTGTAATTGTACAATTGTAATCGGCATTGTAAAAATCGTCATTACAACAAAAAAGAACCAAAAGATTTCTACTAATTGCATATTTAAAAAATAATGACAATAAATAGAATAGGTGTCAGTGAAATTTGACGGAAAAAATAGGGAAAAAATAGGGAAAAAATAGGGGAAAAAATACGAGTGATCGGTAGGTGTAGAGGAACAGGAGACTAAAAAGTAAAAAAATATTCTCTCAAACTGAAGGCATAACGAGATCCTCGAAATAGTGGGCTAGGGCGTTGACAAGGCAACCGAGACGAAAGTCAAGCCTTTGTGCCTTTGGGTGTTTTCTCGTATCGTAGGATAGTTATGGAAGGATGATGCCGAGGGTTGGATGTACACATGACGTATGTGCCTGCACGAATTCGATATAGAGTACAAGTCCGTTTGCCAAACAATCCCCCCCTCAATTCACTGTACAAGCCCTTAGGGCGCCCTTTTCGCCCCCCTTTTATCATTTATTCTGGGTGATATTAGTGCTCCAGCAAGGGCTCGACGAAATGTTCCCGACAGTTGCCCGCATCATCGGTTATGACGTGAATAAGGCACCGAGAATATCGTCGGAATAAAAAAATTTACACCAAAATTTTACCTCCACTTTACACTAACGCCTATTTTCCATTTTTCCATTTAAAAAAAAATGTCACGTTACATCCTCGGTAATTGGTTCATCACATATTGTTGTAATAATTTTTAAAAATTCAATAAATATAGAATTTTACATAATATATAATTAATGTATTATATATTCTATATACTATATTTATTTTGATAATTGCGTATTTTAAACAATAAATAAAAGGAAATAAAATAAATATGCAATTATATAATAAATGTATTATATATAATATATTCATTATATATTAATAATAATAACTAATAATAATATTATTACAATATTCATCCATAAAAATATTGATTACCGTAATAACGTAATTTATTTTTTTAAATAAAAATAAAAATATCGAATGAAAAATTAATAAAAAATGATGAGTCAAATGACTCATCATTGAGTTTTTCGGTTATTTCCGGCTGTCAATTTATTTCTTCCCGTTGACATTAAGAATGAAAAAATAAAAATATTGCGATGGCGATTGTGTTTGAGATTTCTTCAACATCGTGTTGTTTTCGTTGTAGTTGTTGTCCCCCCATCATCACTATATTTATCCGTTCCACGGTTAGATCAATACACAAAGAGTTATCACATGGGGAAGTCATTGGCTCAGGTGCTTGGCAACGTAAACCTCTCGACAATTTTTCTGTTACTTAGAATGACTAGAGTAAGACCGATCAAGAACGATTGGATTACCGATTATCTCCACCACATGTGCCCTTTTGAAACTCATTAATCATCATTAACCAAAGTTGTTATTTCATCTTCATTTCTTCTATTCTATTTTCATTGAGAAGAACAACATTTTCTGGTCAATTAATTAAGGACGATATGATAATTATAATTATAATGACAATGACAATTATTATTATTATTATTATTATTATTATCATTATTATCATTATTATCATTATTATATAATAATATTAGCTACACGGAGAGAAATATTTAGTAAAAATTACGGAACTTTCAGTTCACTTACCGATTACGGAGTTGATTCGAAAAATTTAAATGACGGTATCGTTATTTTTGACCGATTATTCAGATAAAAATTACGGAACACCGCGGAAAATTTCCGTGACTTTAGATAAAAATTACGTGACAGTTCTGTAAAATTTCCGACAACCACATTTCGCTCCAGAATTACGGAAAATACACGTAATTTTTATTGAATATTTCTCTCAGTGTAATTGGAAAATTGATGTTAATATATGTGGAATTTTTTGTTCGCAGTAATTGTTGGTTTAATTTAAAATTTAGGTGAGGAATCGATAACAGATTTTCAGTTATATATAATATCTCGAAACCTTCAGAATTATCGGATTGTTTCCCGAAAAATAATCGACGGAGGAGAATAAAAAAGAATTGATGCAATAATGTGCAATGAGATTAGCGGATGAACGAATGAATTTATTGCGGCTCTTTTTTTTTGGATTTACAGTGTTGTGAATAATTCAGATTTGTCGGGTCAGATTAGATTTTGGGAAATGCCGGAGCACTCACGTGTCGGGATAAATAAAATCATTGCCCCCCAGGGCTCATTCCTATCACTCGACACTCATGTGACAAAGAAATTTTCGATTTTTCCGTTTTTATACCTCGGAGTGATGCAAAATTCAGCGAACGAGTGGTCCGAGCTGTTGAGCTGTATAAATTCAATTCCTCTCCCGGTACATCGCGGGGGAAAAAAAAAATTCACCCGAAGGGACATACCATCCGGAAAATTGATAACCGCATTTCACTCGGGAAAAATAACGGAGTAAAAAAGACCCTCCAGACTCCAAAGTCAAAAAATAAAATTACAGTGAAAATCGCGTTGGGAATTCTATGGAATATTCTCATTTCACTTTAATCATAAAAAATTTATGTGTTAATTCAATGGTTTAATTGGCAAAGCGAGAGAGATTTCTGTCGATTTATTGAATATTTAAAGTCCTCATGTTCGAGATAAAAAAATATTATTAACAAATTGAAACTCGAGAATTTACTTTTTTCAACATCTCCCCCTTTCAAAAACAGGAAAAATAATCAAAATAATATTTATTTAAACATTTATAAATTTGTTATTAAAACGGAGATGTTTCTAGAGACTTATAAAGCATTTCCAATTGTTTATATTTATCAAGAAAAAATCTGTATTTGAAATTCGAGGATTTATTTTCCGCGAAAATAGATTTCGCGACTCGATGAATTTCACCCACAACGCGGCCCTTTATCGCCACCCCCACGTCATTTCCTCCCCTTTTCACACGTGAATCCCCCCC